TATATATATATAATATATATATATATATATATATATATATTACAACAATGAAACGAGTTTACCTTGACAATAGTTGATGCTAAAATTATTTTTTTCGTAAGATCATCCTTCAATTGTATTCCATAGTAACCAGCTTGACCAAACAACTGACAAGTAAGCTCTGTTTTATATGACACTATATCTCGCTTTCGCAGAGTTTGGGAATAGATTTTGTGATGACCATTAGTTGAACTTTCACTATTACAATAGGTATCTTCGCCACAAAATATCAGAATCAAAACTAACAAATTTTCATCTGATTCATCACTACAATTATCTGGAGCTTTAAAATGTACTAGTACAGGCTTATCAGGATATGTAGTGAATGTTGTAGGAGAAACAATCAAATCAATACTTGGTGTAATAACATTTAATTCTTTGCAAACCCGTGTTCCATTATCAGTATGCACAATCAAACTGTATAATCCTTTGTAAGGAAAATATTTACAAGATAATTTCACACTTGCTATGTCATCTGTTATGTGTACATTTGCATCAGAAGGCACTAATTGAATTATTGGAGAATATGTTGTCACAGATGATTTATATTCAATTTTCAATTCTTGAGGTATATTTTCTGTAGGCATGATTCCATAAATTCGAATAAATAAGTAATTATGATCAGTAGCTATATGATATGAATACGGCAATTCTAGTGACAACTCCGATGCAAAAATGCATTTGGCAAAAATCAATGCCCATGCTCTCCAATGAAACACTTGCATTTTAAAACAATATTTGTGGGAAGATCAAATGACAATTTCAGTGACCTGTAATTTGCTTTTATGAGCACAACAATTTCAATCTTATTACAGATTACAATATAGTATTTTTCAAATACAAAAATCATAATAAATATTACTGAAACAAAAAAAATTTAAATAATTAAAATCAAAATAAATTATTTTGTATAATTTTCACAATACTAAGTTTAATGGAAGACAATAATAAAATGAACAATAATAAAATTAAATTGAACTAATATATCATTGAATAAAAAATTGACATTTGTAAAATAAACTTTATTTCTACAAATATACAAAATTATAAATACATAACATAATTAAACTTAAAAAAAAAATTACATAGAAAATCTATAGAAAATAATAGTCAAATTAAAATTAAACTGTTCATGCTATAAACGTAAAGTTAACCTTAATGATTTTTATCAGTTCATTAACCTCCTATTATGCATAAAAAATAACATATTAGCACATGCGTTTTAATTTAAACTTAATTGGGTTTATCAACATAATTCAAATATTTCCTCAAACATGACTCAGCTTATACCTCTATAACATAAAATCCAGTTTACTCTGATTCTTCCATTATCCTTCATTATAAGTAGTAAAAACTAATATGAACTGATGCAATCTGAAACAATTGTTTAAAAAGCTACAAAAACACTGAATACACTAATAAATGTTTAAAAGCACTTTAGATAACAAGACAATGTAGTCCAAAAACTAAAAACATTAATAATTTTCAAAGCTAACATGACAATCATATGACAATCATTCATAAACAATTCGTTCAGAACTGCCAACTTACTGATGTGACACGAAGTATTTATGCTAGAAAAAGAAAATATTAGAAGATTTTTAGCTAAAAATAAAAAAAAACTGAGCAAACTGAACTGTAATACTGTAAAATATAAATACAGCAAGTTTATAAATTTTAAAAATCGTATTTTATAAATAACAGTTTTCTTTTCGCTACGTATTTTACAAATGCAAAAAGAATGTTTAGATAATTATGCTCCGTTTCAAATTATTACGCTTAGAATACATAACTATAAATATTACCTTTGATTTTCCATTTAAGGATATTTCTATCTAATTATTTTATTAATATTTATATTTTACCGCGTCTATAATTTAATATTGGTATGACACTTTCGTTCGGCTTTCTTCGCCAAGTATCGTTTTATCAATAAGTTCGCACTTGTGTCTATGTTGGCTTTAGTAAATGGTTCTTGTACCGATATATCGTGCCACAACCCAAGTTGACCAATCATAAGTCGAACAGCAGGAAATCGTGTCCTACGTCTCTTTCGCACGTTTGCATATAACCAGCGAATAGCAAGAAGTCTACGTCAGGGTTCATTATTCAGTTCGGGCTATTTAGTTAATATAGGATTCGTTGGTAAGTGATCGGAAAGATATTATAAAACTTGTTATCTTAAAATATTTGTGTTTTACTAAACCATCGAGAGTTACAAGGTGCGATATTAATTCATGTTCGACGAATTTTAAGTGTGGAAAATTAAATTTTAGTGCAATTTTACGTCGGCTATATATTATCTCCATTTTTATTTCGGTAGATCAACAAATACTAAAATAAAAATATTATAGTGCTATAAAAACTTCCTTAATAGTCACGAGATTACATTTTAAATTTGAAGATAAGAGAAACATGAAATTTCCTCTTTTTTGCATGATTACTACAATTACGTAACTCGTAGTTCGTACCTTCTCAAACAATTCATAGCTTCAAATATTTAGTACTATTTAGTATAAGTGAAGTGTTTTCATGTAATTAATGGCTCTTTACGATTTCAGTTTCTAGAACCACAACAAATTAAAACACACCAAGATGTTCTCAGCAGCAAAATTCATCGCCCCAGTCGCAAATCCGCAGTAAGCTATTAATATTTATTGTTACTTATATTACATAACCAATAGTTTTATTATATAATAATTTTCGTGATCAAATTTTTAAAATTAGTGTACTTGCATGTCTTACATAATCCATCAAATATCACATTTCCATTGAACTTGCACAATTATCAAATAATTTCAGCCTTTCATCTGTGTATATTTTATTGAGTATAAATTCAACATTTTTTTTTAGTTTGTCAATGGATCAAAGGCATATCTGCGACCAATCTCAAGTGCAGTATTGACTCAAAGCTCTACTATCAATGTATTACCTGCAGCCGCTCAATCTAGCATTTTACCACAAGTTCGTTGTCTGCAAACTACAGCAGTAACGAAAGACATTGATTCAGCAGCTAAATTTATTGGTGCTGGAGCAGCCACCGTAGGAGTAGCAGGATCAGGTCAGAAAAATGAAGAATAAAAAAGAAAACTAACAAATGTTTACAAATGACTTACATAAATTATTTACAGGAGCTGGTATTGGTTCAGTCTTTGGATCATTAATCATTGGTTATGCACGTAATCCATCCCTTAAACAACAACTATTCTCATATGCCATTCTTGGATTTGCATTGTCAGAAGCTATGGGACTTTTCTGTCTTATGATGGCTTTCTTACTGTTATTCGCATTCTAATTTGGTTTTTCATTTTGCCCGAAGTGTGTGTTCTAGAAGAGCTGCTGAACGTTATCACCAGGGACTGATAATTTAATACATTCAAAATACCATTTATTATAGTTCCGTATAATGTAAAATAAACCACAAACCTTTAATTGATTGTTTTAATTGTTATACTCTTCTAATTATTTATTGTATATATGGAACTTAAAGCTTTTCTATGAAAAAAGTTCTATATAAATGTTAATAATTGTTCTAAATGAAATAATTTCACATGCTTATCTATTTAAAATAAAATTAAAGCTTTGTAAGTTTTATTAAAAAAACTATACAAACAATAAGTTTCACTTATTTTATGATCTTTCTGAATGGTCATTTATGAAACTTTTATAAACATCAAAATATAAGTAAAACTACATATTACATGCTCATTAATATATATTATATTTTAAAGTCAGATTTTTTCAATTATACATTTGCATATATTTTAAAAATAATATATTCCTTAAAAATCTCGACACATGGCCATAAACTTAGTGAAATAAGTACATTACCACTAATTATAATAACTATAATACTTAATGTTTTAATCTTTGGTTGAAAAAAAAATTCAATTATATTCTGGACACCGTGTATGTGGTATGCAACGCCCAGGGCCTAAAGAGATGTCATTTGAGGAAATTGGTAGTTGCGCTGTATGGACAACAATGCCTGGCTGAGAATCAGTTGGAGCATGCAACTCATGACTTGAACCAGGTGTTAAATTTGCAAGTGCAGCTAACAAATCTTGATTGATCAATGGCTCATTTTCTGCCCGAGGCTCCCAGCCAAGAGGTGGGCTAGCTGGTGGTGATATTAAAAATTGTTTCACGGGAGCAGGTGGTTTTAAACTTGGAGCTCCTACAGGAGTCACAGGCTGGGCAAAATAGCAGTTAATAACAGAATCCTCTAATACATACTGATGAAGGTGAATGCGAGCATTAGCTGCAGCAATCGGTGTAGAATAATTTACTCGTAAACGTCTAAAGCTAGGCAACCATTGAAATCCAACATTGTCAGAAAACATTTTAAATAGGCCTTCAATTTTTGATTTCCTCTCTTCGCTTTTAAAAACATCTCTATGAATATTGGTAACTATTACTGATTTTGGTAGTTCCTGTACTAGGTCATCGTCATTTGACTCTTCATCAGAATCAATAGTGACTTGATCAAAATTTGGGTGCACATCAGGAAGCCCATCAGCTGAATTGATATATACCTGTTCTTCAGAACACATATTTGTGTTTACATTTTCAGAATCAGCCATTGTTTTGAAAAGATATTTTCTGTAAGTGAAATGTTTAAATAGAATGGTTTCAGCTAATCTTTATAATATGAATAAGATAATAATATTACCATTTTTCTTAAATTAAATTACAGTAACTGACAATATTCTGTAATGCAAAAGCAAATCAAAATTAAATTAAAATATTGGCTTTATCAAGATCTTCAACTGATATTTTCAAATGCCTTGTGAAATAAATATTACATTAGAGATATACAACATAAAATTGAATGTATACTTAACATTTTATACTTGCGTAATGTTATACATTGCTTTATTATATATGCATTTGAAATAGTTTAAATATAAAACATTAAGAAAAATGATAAAATTTATTGTAGCATTACTATATTCTTGGATTATACATACCTTTAAATTTTCATCTTAATGACAAATGTTAGGTATGGTTTAGATTTAGCATTAGTTGAAAAATATCATATTACATTGTAATGACATTCCTCGTTATGAAATAACATGAAATCTTAAATGTTATTTAAATTCAATGGTTATAATCTCTGATAATACAGCGATTTAAATATAATGGTTATAATTGTCACAAACATTACATATGTTCTATTGTCGAAAAACAGCGATGGACTTTGACAGTAGAATTCAGGTGCATTCATACTCCACATGACCAGAATAAAATTCCCGTGTTAATTATAATATTATATACACAAATAGACATGCATACAAAATTATTTGAAATGTACTATTTATGTTTAATACTTAAATAAGATTTTTTGTAAAAATCAATAGTTTATAAATTATTAAGTCGTTTCAGCGTCAGACAAGTTGGGTATAAACCAACCACATTGACATGTTTTTAGTCAAATGACATGTATAAGCAAAATTTTATTAATAAAATAATATATTTATTGTGACAAAATTAAAATGCAACTGAATAATAAAATAATATAGATCTTTTAAAACTTTTAGATCTCGAATATAATCTTTTGGAACGTACTAACTCTATGTGAGATCACTCGATTTTCAGTTTTTCAGTGAGAAGTGTATTTTGTGGAAGGTTCTTATGAAATAATAGTCATGTGGAAACTTGTTTTGATAAAACCATCTACTTTATAAAGGAAAACCCGCACAAACGATAGCGATTTAACGAAGGATATTTATTGCATTTCATTCCAAGTGTTTTTTCTAGAGCAAATTCTAAGGTGAACTAAGGGCCAAATAACCAGCATAAATATAAATATTTAAGGATAATTTAGTGTTTTAAGATCGGTATAAAAACTTCAAACTTCGATTTTTCATTAATATCAAAATGTATACATATTTGTACACAGTTACTATTGAAGAAATTGAATTTTTTACTTTCCAATTAAATTAGAAAATTTTCGTTTATTATAGGTTACTTGATTTATATATAAATTATTATAGTATTAAACCTGTTATTAGGTAATGATCCATAGAAATTGTACTCATTACAAACAATTAATCAGTACTACTCAAGCATAAATTATATTTATTTGTTAATGAAACAATGACTTGTTTCATTTCACATCATTTGTTATATACAAAATGAGAACTACTCTTATTTTATTTTCCATGACTAGTTGCTTGCAGTATTTTGTTTTATTAATAAATAATGAGTAAAGTCTAGTTGTTTAAACTTCTTTAGTATTTTATGTAAAACTCATATAAGTAGATAACAGCTGATTTAAATTTTTTAATGCTTTGAAAACGCCCAAAACTAACTTTTTAAATTAGATTATATCTATTTGAATAAAATTTATTTGCTTATTATGCTTGAATTCGCCTTCTTAATCAAGAGCTGTAAACAGAATGTTAACATATTTGCAGTTAGCAAATAATAAGAATAATGTCAACATTGTATTTTCGAGGACTTCTAGCAAAGTAGAAGTTTCAATATAAAATGCTTTATTTTTGCAATACGAGATATTGAGCTATTGAAGGATATTATTTATACTTGATCAAAAGGGGCAGTTTTATAATTAATTCTTATTTAAGAAAATTAAATAATTTATTCAAGTATATAACATACTATTATTTACAGTTGATTCTTCTAGAAAAACTCTGTCAAGACAATACAAACAAGAACCTTATTATTGATTTATGATAGTCGAGGTTTCAGGACAAGTGCTTTTTAAAAACCAAAATTTGTCTTTTAGTACAGGATTATTGTATACTTAATACTTAACTCTCACCTCTAGTTATAAATTGCATATATGTGTATAAGTATCTTTTTGTCATTTCTGTGAATTTTCAACAAACTTTCCTCCCAGGAAATATAATTTGTTAAATGAAAATTAAAATGTTATCCCTTATAATAAATATTTTCAGTTTTGGGTTCCTTGTCTTGATTGGAGTAATTTTTGTTACTTTTTGATAATCTATATATTTACAGATTATGAAGCCTTTGGAAGAAGATATGTCAGTTTGTGCACCATTGACCGTTGTGTTGCCCCCTCTGGATGATCAGACAATTAACAATGATTATAGTATAGATTTGTTAGCAGTTGTGAGTCCTGATATACCACCTCCAAAAGCAGACTTTTCTGCTCCACCTCCATATGAAGCAAATCCTTCTTTAATGAAATTACCCACATATGAAGATGTGCAAAGAGAGAAGTGCCTGCATGGGGAACCATCTGCTGAATTATGTGTGAGTTAGCCTATACCAAATAAATTTAAAAATAGTTCATATGATTTTTCAACTCATATATATTATATCAACATTCAAGATTTTACATAAATAATGAAATATTATATTATATATATATATATATATATATATATGCATCAAACAAAGAAAAAACTAAAATTTATAAAATAATCTTTAATTCCAAACATTTCGACATACAATTTAATGTCATCATCAGTGGATATTGAACTTGGTATTTTACATCTAAAAACATGTACACAGCACAGAATTTAGCACTAACATTGATACAACTAACCAGTCAATAATCATGAATCTTTTTTTGTAAATAGAAAAAATAATGAAAGTTTAATTTAATTTTTTTTAGCATTATCTTGGCCTCGGTAACCATTACTATTACATGTTTCTGTGCCAAAATACTTTAATTTTTCTACATTTTTGTAAAACGAAACTTTCATTATATATATATATATATATATATATATATATATATATATATATATATATATATATATATATATATATATACTATATCATATACTCATAAGCCTTGTAACAGGCTTGACACTATACTCAACTTCATCCGTATAAGTTGATATTTAATTAATTAAATATTATATTAATATTTTACAAAGTGTTATATATATATATATATATATATATATATATATATATATTACTGTAAGGCTTTAACATTGTGCAAAATACTAAATGTAGTGTATTCATATTCACATCTTAATATTCATTCCACTCATAATACTTTCAATGAGTAAACAAAAAAAAAATGTATTTTTAGGCGCAGCCGATGACAAGTACAACTCCACTGACATTTTTGGCAATTGGCCCAGAGATTGGGGATTGTGACTCTGAACGAGCTTCTCTATTGGGGACAGATTTTATGTTCTTTACTGCATTTTTAGGCAAGTCTTAAATGTATAATTTTAACTGAACATTATTCAAAATGCCGTGGTACACCGACATACGAGTTTAATTCGCACGTTTGTACGTTTGTATATCGAACCGGTCGTATCTCGAAGCAATTTTTCCATAGAAATACAGTGAAATGCAATTAATTTGTTCCAGCACTGTGATTTTGTTAAGATTTTTGAATATTAAAAATAAATTTACCATTATTATTATTAATTTAAATAATTTTTTTTTTGTTCATTCATGATATTGCGAGAATAAGTTCCCAAACTCGAACTGTTGCAACTTTTTCAGGGTGATTTTTACCCACAAACTATTAGACCTCAGAAAGCTGCTCTTAGCTGGAGTTATACCCTTTATAAACTTCCTCTGTTTAAACACAGTACATATCTATAGGCTTGTACATCCTCGTCACCCATATTTTTCAATAATTTCACACTTTCAAGAGACATGGCCCTTTTCTTTGGACTAGCCATGATTATAAAAGAAAATACTATTCTGTAAAATAACAAAAAGCAAACAACGCGAACTTAACTGTACAATCACTATTAATGTATAGCCAAAATTTCGCGTGGGTAAATCGCTACTAAACTAGTTGGTATTGGTATTTTGCCTTGAGGCAAGTTACATGAACTTCCCGATATGTGTAAATAATCGACTTAACCAATAAAGAATAAATTAATTTATGAGTGATTAAAAGTATTCCGAGTGGATTTACTACACACAATTGAAAACGAACGAACACGTTAACTCGGAGTATTTTCTAAAAGCAAATTTTTAAAAAATCAATAATTTTTATAATTGAACCAGTTTCCGTATGTCTTTAATTGTTTAGTATGTTCATTAACTCTATCGTTTTACCAAGTAAATCGTCTAGTTTTAATTTTAACAAACGTCAAAAAACCTCAAACTTTGATGAATTTTTAAAACAAAACTACTTATCGTAAGACCGTAATATTTCAGTAAGTTCTATAAGACCAAAAAAAATCCATAAAAATCAAATTAATTACAGGAAAACGGCTCGGTAGTTTTTCACCTAAAACTAATCAGTATCATTCCCAAATAATATCTTTCAAATAGTTCTTAATTTTTTTTAAATTGATTCGGTAGTATGAGCTTAAATGTGGACGAAAAGTTTAATACTTTTTTCTAAATTGCAAAGAAATGGCTCGGTAGATCGTCGCGCAAGACTGATAAACGATAGTCCTCATCGAGATACATCGAATGGCTTTTCGAATGTTTGTTTGGTCTCATTCGATTCAGAATGGCCTGAAACGTCGAGAAAACATAAAATTAACGAATAATATACTAAAATGACTAACTATAAAATAATTTACTATCATAAAACAGCCAAAATTGTTCTATAGCAGGACAGTCATTGTTACAACTGATAAAATTTTTCATAATTTCATTTCGCCATTAACGTTTTTCTACAGAATTTACTCGTTCAAAGCCTTTATCTTGGATTTTGCTCGTATGTCGAAGAAACAAATCGCTCCTTTAGCGGCTCGTACCTCTAAACACTCGTATGTCAGGTCAATAAAAAATTATCCCCATGGTTAATAAAAGATATATCCACATTAACGATCATTTTTTTTCAATGTAGTGGCATTTTTATTCAATTGGATCGGATTTCTGCTCTTGATGTGTTTTTGCCATACAATAGCTTCACGCTATGGTGCTCTATCAGGTTTTGGTTTGTCGCTTGCAAAATGGACTTTGATTGTGAAGCATTCCACAGACTTAGCTAGTCATGAAAATTCGTGGTTGTGGTGGTTGATAATGGGATTTGGTAAGTGTCATTTTCTTAATATTTATTTGAACATTTCTCATGATGAATTGTTTCTTATGCAATAACACCAACTCAATATGTAATTTAGTACATTATAATAAGTAAAAGAAAGTCTTTATATATGAATTAGGTTTAGATTTTTAATGGGTGCTATCTTATTTGAAACATTTATTAAAGTAATTAATGTTAATAACAATAATTTGAGTCTAATTTAAGATATTGTTTCTCTTATGTACTCATATATACAAAATTATATATATATATTGTAGACCTTCGAACAAAGAATCCAAAAAGTAATAAAAAACAAAAAAGTTTTTTTAAAACACCATTTCTTAATTTATTTACTGTCGACGTTTTGGAACTAGGTACGTTTCATCTTCACGACATCTATCAAAAACGTGATCTTGATAAGATTTAAGCAACCAATATGTTTAAGCAAAGCAGAAGATTATGGATTTTTTTTTTATAAAATGAATAAAATTGTGGAAAAAATAATGTACAGAAATATGACAATATAATCAAAATGAAAATGGTAAAAATAAATGAGTGGATTATATAACAAAATATTTAAAATGTTAAAAAATTAGCAAGTTCTAGAAAGTTTTAAGAAAAGGTTACTGAAAAAACAGAATTAATTACCTGTATGATTGATTATACACTAACACTTTTTCACTAAAAAAGATTTTATCAAATAAATTAATTTTATAAATTCCTTTTATATATATATGTACTCCATAAAAGTGTATTTAAAAAAAAAACTGTATTTTTAGTTCATAATTTGATACCTAACTAATTTAATTTGTTTAACAGGTTTACTAATTTGCATGAGAGCGATTATTCAGTATGTTAATATAAAACGAGGATGGAACCTTTTGTCAGGAACTGCTCAAGAACGTTTATTATTTTTTTATTGATTATTAATTGACGTGTGATCCAGATAGTTTATTCTTGAATTTTGAGTATACATTCCTAGGAAGAAATGATCAAAAGAAAAAAATTCATTAATTTAAAGATATATCAAATTGACATGCGCCTCAAATAGCATTCTTGGTATAGGTACTATTTGTTAAGCAGTACTGTTGTCCGTACATGAATAATTTGTTTTATTATGTTTCAACAAATTATTTATTAACAAAATATTTGTATTTTAGTAACTATACTGGAGCATTAGAATATATTTGGAGCTGTCGTTATATTTAGTTCTAAAATGTACAACTCAATTTTTAACCAAAATGAAAATGAAAATTTTCATATGCGCATTTTTATTGTGATAGCTTTACTATGAAACATATGTATTGACTTACTTAATGTGATGTAAATAATGCTTTTATTTTTTATATTATTGTATGACAATACCTTACATGAAAGCAGGTCTTTAAAATGAATATTAAGTTTCTGAATGCAATAATTAATTGTAACGATTTTTTCCTATTACTGTGTTTAAAAGTTTTGCACTTCAAGCCATTTGCTTTTACACTAGTTTAATTAAAGTCCAAATAAACCTGCAATTAAGACACAATAGTTGCACAAAACATAAATTTAATAGACATGCATAGATTAGCAATGTTAGATAACTTAGTTTATATAATAACACTAGCAATAGGCATTATACATAATTGATATAAAAAATGTCTTTAGATGTTATTGTATTTGAATGTGTATTGATCATTACAAAATTGTTTGGTTTATCCTGTAAAATATAGATTATAAATTTAATGTTTGTTTTTGAAAGTTTTACAGATTTTTAATAACAATATTTATATCTATAATTAAATGTTAATATTCAATTAAAGATTAATCATTGTAGGTACAGTTCGTACATCTTCATTTAAGGAACACATAATTTTATTTCCAGCAACTAAAGTTATTGTGCTGACATGGTTATCATAATCTTTGTGATTTATTTCACCCATTTTGTCGGAACTTATATAATTTGTATATGGCTTATTATCAGAAGTCAAAATGCTTGCATGAAATTTTTCAGGACTTTGTGTTTCTGTGAAGTGATCTTTAAGAGTGTTAGATTTGTAACAATTTGAATCTACTTTGTCTTTTTGTGTGTATGATGGCATTAAAATTTTACGATAAATTTCAATATGTTGATATTCTTTTCTTTGTTCATCACTCAGCGAGTCAATACCATTTAAACTTTTAGAAGTATTTGTTTTATTAATATTGTTAAATGTAGGTTCAATGGATCCACTTGTTTCAGTACTTGATCCTAATGTTTTTCTCGCTGAAGGTGCTTGAAGTATTTTCCGGTAAATTTCTATATGGTGATCTTCACATGCCTTACTGTTGTCGTTTTTGGATGTATTAAGTGAATTAACATTATTAACTGAATGTTGCATATTTTTGAAAGATAATTTTATGGGTCCATTGATTACAGGTATTCTGAATTTCTTTTCTTGTAATGAAAAACCATTGCTGTAATCCATTGGGTCTTTATTTGAATTATGTGGTATTGTATTAGAGTCTAGCAGAATATTATTTGAAGTATTTATATTTGGTACTAAATCTTCTTTATCACTATTTTTATTTTTATCTTTATTCATTTCAAAAACTATTTGTTTTTTTATGGGTTTGTCATAAGATAAACTTCTTTTAACACATTTATGCAATTTATTATTAATGTAAGCTGTATCCTTGCCGGGATGAGTATTTCTAATATGTCTTATTAAATTATCTTTTCTTTGACACTTTATATCACAATAATTACATAAATAATGTTTGCCTAAAATTCAGATGCGAGTAAAAAACATTAACTAATTATATAAATAAATAAATGAAATTTATCAATTTTGATACTTACCGGAGTGACTTAAATAATGACGTCTCAGACTGGGATAACTACTAAAAACACTTTTACATTTTGAACATTTATGAAATTTGCTTTTAGTGTGTGCTAATTTATGGGCAATAAGAGACCACCGAATTTTGAAGGATTTTCCACACAACTCGCATAAGTAATTTTTAAGTTCTAAATTATGTGTCATCATATGTTACGTAAATTAGATTTATCATTAAATCTTTTTTCACATTTTTGACAAGAAAATAATGTTTCATTTTTATGCCTTGTATTGTGTGCCGTCAGTGATTTTTTGTTTTAAAAGATGAAGTGCACAATTCACATTGATAAGCATTTATACCTAAAATATATATATTTTTCAACGTGACTTATAATAAAATATTTATAATATGTTGATCAAATTGGCCAAAGTTTACAAAATATTGGATAAATACTATTTGGACAAAATATCACAAATAAACATATGTCAATCAAATTCTTAAATTTAATTTTGCAAAATGTTTGCAAATCATCTTATAAATTTTTTTAAATTATACTTGCTTGTGTGTGCTTTTAAATGACGATTTAGCGAACCAATATGTGAGAACTGTTTTCCACAAATATCACATTTAGTACGTGATGCCTCTGTATGACTCTTCATATGGTAATTCAAATGAGGCAAAGTTTTGAATTCCTGAAAAAAAGTGAATTGTATTTTATAATGCAAATTGATTAACATATATAGCATTCATAATACAAAAAGTAATTACTTTTGAACATGTATCACATTTGAATTGCTTTGCACCTGTTTCGCATGCTTCATGGTATTTACAATGATATTTAAACTTGAATTTACTTTTACATATAGTACATTCATAAATAGTATTTGGTGTTGTTTCCAATATAGTTATATGTGAAGGCAAAGAAAATTTATTACACTTTTTATTACTCTTTGATTTATTAATTTTCAAATTTGATACTATTATTTTACTTGTATCTCTTGGCTTACATAATTTCGATGTATCTTTTTCTTCCAAATTAGAATTAATATTACGAACAGATAAATCATCATGTATGTTTTTCATCACATCATTCGCAGTTGTCTTGCTAAGAATAGTCCATTCAGTCTTCAATTTTAATTGGCCATTATATTTCTTATTATTTTTAGATGGACTCTTATCGAAAATTTTGTTTTTTGTGCAAGGTGACGAATTGTTTGCATTTTTTAGAAGTATGTTACTTTTCTGCTCACATATTTTGCAGCCTGCAAATTCTTGTATAAAGCAATTTCTACATTTTTTGTGGCCGCATTGTTCTTCAATTAACCTATTATTTGTATTATTCAGAGTGCAGCCACATAAAGGACACGATTCCATGTTACACAAAATATTTAAATGTATAAATACATATTTGAATTAAATTAGATTAATAGGACTTTGGCATCATGTATTTGAAAATGCAAATACAATGTCAATATATACAACTCTTCATTTGTTTTGAAATAATCACAGTCCACATTTTCCATCTGTCAAAGTTTCGTCGTATTTCGCGACTTAGAGGATATTCACACACATTGTACAAATGGCGTTTCGCTAAGGGTTACGACACACACAATTTGAACATAATTTGATTAATTATTCAATATATTATAAGTTTTTGACCGTCAAATCGCATTATTTTTTAACTTTCCGCAGGCTAAGTTATAGTAATCGCAAAAAAATCTGAAATGAAAATTTTTATGCATCTTTACGTTTCAAAGTTTTCTGAACATTTTGGCATACCTTAGAAAAAATAGATGTATGTGTGTGTGTGTCTGTGTGTGTGTGCGGATACAAATGTTTGTCGACGCTTTCGGGAACACGGTTCAACCGATTTCAATTATTCAAAGAACAATCGATTCCTATTATAATAAGGAGACGTGTTGATTAGTTTTTGGCACAGGCAGGTCTAGCCGTTTCGAAAATACGGGGCTAAAAGTGCCAAAAACGAACTCAGATTTTAAGAGAACGGAGCGTCCAATTTTAACAATTCAAAAAACATTTTACTTGTATTCACTAGATGAAGAACTGATTAAATTTTTGGGAAGGCAGGTCTATCGGTTTCGGAGATCTAGTAAAAAAAGTAAAAGAAACACCATTTTGAGGTCAATAATAATCATTAGACATACGCACATCAAATTTTCAAATATTTTGTGGAGATTTTAAGTGTATCAATTTTGTTTACATTTCAATGGGTTTCGTAAAATCGTTTGCCCGTTAGACGGCGACGCGGCGCTTACGCGATTCGATATTGCGTCTCTATGCAGCTAAACCAGTGCGATTGCTTTGAAAAAAAGTTCAAAATTTCCAAAATATTTGAAACTAAAAAAAAAACATTTTCCAAAGTTTCCAAAAAAGTCATTTTCGTTTCAAAAATTTAAAATTTCTCAAAAATCTAATTTTATCAAAGTTTAAAACAAATTTAATCTTTTTTTTAAAAAAAAAAAAAAAAATGGTACGGCAATTCCCGTTGCTTAAGCTTCGGCAATTTGCCATACACCACTAGTTTAAGATTGCTTCGGGTTTCTATACAAATTTATTTATTCGAATTCGTCTTTGAAAATTAACATTAAAAACACACATACAAATACAATTTGAAGACTTCTTTTCCAAATGTCGCCACAAGTTTAATACGTTTACTAACTGTTCTAACAGTATTTATTGCACCTGGGGTTGCTCAAAATTAAAAATTACTTGAGAACTTCAATAGTTTGAGAACATCTAAATAAGTAGTAAGTGATTTAACAATTATTGTGATTGAAAAAAAATGGCAAAAATATACAAGTTCCTCTCGAAAAAAATGGCAAAATATACGCTTTTTTGGCTGCTACAGTGGTGTAACTCCTTAAGGTAATGTTGAAGCAAGAAGCTCTTCTGACAATATAGGAAATCGCAGAAAGGCTTAATTCAGCTCAAGATATCATTTCTGACCATATGCGCAAGATAGAATTCATGTAGAAGTATTCAAGATGTGTTCCACATGACTTATAATTAGTAAAAGAACAAAATCAAAGATATCTAAATCGATGACATTCCACGTAAACATTTTTACGACGCATAGAATCTTAATTTTTGTTCATTCACAGGAAGCATTATGTTTATTAGCATGTCAATTATCTATATAAATGTATTATTTTAAGATCGAATTATCAAGTCGGGCATTGTCGTCAATTGATAAAAGCAATTGTGACCCTTGTTTATGACTTGTGGATGAATCTCGGCTCTCCGGCATACATAATATAGCTACTTATCGAAAAAAAAAGTTAACGAGATTGCGTGAAGCGTACATTTGAAATTGCAAACAAGATATTCTATCACTTCAACAGTGCTATTTTTAATTAAACAAGTTTAATTTTACTTTATTCATGTATAAGCGCTTTTAGATGCAAAGTCCTCAAACGCTGCCTAAATACTCAAATAATCAGTAATTAACTTCCCGTAGGGTAAGCTATAGTAATGGGCCGAAAATCGAAAATGAAAATTTTTACTATCTTTATGTTTTAGAGGTTTCTGAACATTTTGGCATACCTCAGAAAAAATTGGTCGTGTGTGTGTGTATGTTTGGAGACAATTTCGGGCGTATGGATGAACCGATTTCAAAAATTCAAAAACTAATCGTTTCCTATTGATAGGGAGATGTGTAGATTAGTTTTTGACAAAGGCAGGTCCAGCCGTTACTGAGATACAGAGCAAAGAGTGCAGAAAATAGAAACCGAGTTTTTGAGAGAACGGAGTATTCGATTTGAATGATCTAAAAAACAAACCGCTTGTGTTGACTAAACAATTGTTTTTGGTTTTTATACAAAAAAAAATTTTTGTATATCGAGAATAATTCAGATTTTAATTTTAATTCTGGATAAAGATCTAAAGCTCACTTATATACTTTAAACAATTAATTTTAACTTTGTAATTCAATTTATATAATTCTTATAAATATTAAAAAATGTTACAGTATTTATAATAATCTATTTGAAAACATTTAATATTTCTCGGTCATTTCGTTACGGTTCGGGAAGTTCCGGCAAATCGCCTTAAGGCACGATGCCATACACCACTAGTCCTTTTTTAATTGGATCTCCAAAACCACTAAACTTGCCTTTCAAAAATGTAATCAGTTATTCATTTCGTCAATAGAAATCAAATGCTTCAATCAATCAAATCGCACTCTCCATTTTCTCAAAAACTGAATTATCATTTTTGGCACTTTTTGCCCCATATCTTCGAAACGGCTGGTCGTGCATTTCCCAAAATCTAATTTGCCTACACAATTTTTAACATTTAAAAAAAATTTAATTCTCGGTACGGAAAGTTCCAACAATTTGCCTTAAGGCACGATGCCATGTACTACTAGTTTGTTATTTTTAATCAATATTTAAATAATTTTTATTAATATTATCATTTTATATGATGACTTCATAGAGGCAAATAAAATGTAAACATTGAAGTTCATTCTGAAGATAAATTTGCTCTTAGTTGACGATATCATTGTTATGCAAATAATAAAATAAAGGAACTCCTCAAACGATATCATTAGAATTGATTCTTATATATATTGTAATCTACACTTCACTTAAATTCTCACCATTTCGAAGTTCGTTGTATTATCATGATCAAAGTATCATCAATTGTTGTTTGTACAGTCGCTTTGTGGATGATTTTGTTTCAATAAATAATTCATCTGTAAATTCGATCACTTACTGTTAGAAACAGAATATAATCATTAATATTATATAAATAGACAAATTATTCAAAGTTTGAACCGATGCTTTTAGAGTTTCATAGTTAAAAATCTGAAAAGAAGCCATGTTGCTCGTCTCTCATTGTCAGTCGCTTTGTGAATTATTTTGCTTCAACAAATAATTCATATGCAAAATTCAATTACTTATTGTTGGAAACAGAATATAACTAGCTGTAAGTGGAATTCTGTCTTAAGGCAATTAAGGCATCGTGCCTTAAGGCAAATTGCTGAAACTTCCCGCGCCAAAAATTATTATTTTTTTTTAAAATTTACTTTGAAAAAATAAGATTTTTGAGAAACTATAAATTGAACAAAAAATTACTTTTTTTTGAAAAAAAAAATTAAAAAAAAAAAAAAAATTTTTAATTTCTTTTTTTTTTTTAAATTTTTTTTTCTTTATTTTGATATATTGTGGAAGATCTGAACTTTTTTTTCAAAGCAATCGTACTGCTTTAACTGCATAGGGACAAAATATAAAGCGCGTAAGCGCCGCGTCGCTGTCTAACGCATAAGCATTGGTACGGAACCCATAGGAATGTTAAGAAAATGTATACTTATTGTTAAAATCTCTATAAAATATCTGATAATTTGATGTGCATATGTCTAATGATCATTTTTGACCGCCAAATGGCATTTTTTTTTACTTTTTTCGTTAGATCTTCGAAACCGCTAGACCTGCCCTCATGAAAATTTGATCAATTCTTCATCTTGTCAATACAAGTCAAATGTTTTTTGAATTATTCAAATCGAACGCTCCGTTCTCTTAAAAACTGAGTTACCGTTTTTAGCACTTTTTGCCCCGTATCTTCGGAACGGCTAAACCTGCCTTTGCCAAAAACTAATCAGCACGTCTCCTTATCAATACGAATCGAATGTTTTTTGAATTATTCAAATCGGTTGATCCGTGTTCCCGAAATCGTCGAAGAAAATTTGTATCCGCACATACATACACACACGTACATACACACACACACACACACACACACACACATCCATTTTTTCTAAGGTATGCCAAAATGTTCAGAAACCTCTGAAACGTAAAGATATATAAAAATTTTCATTTTTGATTTTTTTGCGATTACTATAACTTACCCTACGGGAAGTTAAACATAAATATTATATAAATATAGTAGATGACCCGACAGACGTCCTGTACCCACGTCTACAATTTAAGTTCCAATTTTTTTAAATATTCTATCCTATACTTTTTAATATCCTATTTAATATTTCCCATTTATGGTCTTAGCATAAGCTATACGTATTAAAAATTGCAGTTTTTCATCAGTATAAGAAATTCAGAAAGAATAAATATAGTATCTGCGGTAAAAGAACTATGTCATCTTTGAAACTACCACCCAATATAATTCCTTCAATAGTTTAGTGTATAATTTGTATAATCGCGTACCATATATTAGTTGCTTTTCGGCAATTACAATTGCTAAATATTTCATATCCAATGCCAAACAAATGAATTTTTGACCCATGAATTCTGAATCATTTTTTTAATAAGAAGAAATATTCATTTGTATTGAAATAATTTAGTAAAGTAAAGCAAAATACAACATGCATAAGCTTGAAAAAATAATTTATATGCAATTTTGGACTTATTGTGTTATTTATTAAACTGAATCATATATTTTCATCTGCCAACATATACTGCTGACTGTTTTTTATATTATTTTAATTACTAGCACATCTCAGCTGCTTTTCGGTAATAAT